GAGGCGGTGACAACAGCAACCAGGCAACGCGAGAGATGGAGCTATCATCTACCAAAATATTGGAAACAGGGAGCAATGAGTGGGAGGAGATGGTGTTGGAGAAGATCAAATGGTGTCAAGAGCGGAAAAAACCGCCTCTGGTATGGGCCGTCGAAATTGTCAAATGCTTACAATCCTCTAACTCAGTTGTCGAGTTGCCCAGCCCTGAGTTAGGCCACCTGCTGGTCTCCCATCTTTGTTTCAACAACAACCACCCCTCCCTCTGGAAGTTCATTTACCAGGCTTTCTCTTCTCGTCTTCTCTCTCCTCTTCAACTCCTCTCCCTCCTCACTTCTAGGTTCTTTCCTTTTCTCTCGTGGATTTTCTTGCATGCTTCTTCGTAAATAGTCAGCTAGATCGCCATGGCTTGTTTTGATTTTAATTTTGATTTTGTTTTTGGTTTCAGAGTGATTCCCAATCGACACTCGCACCCAGAAGCTTACAGGCTCTATCTTGAGCTCTTAAGACGATATGCAATTGTATTTGATCCTGTTCGCTCAGATTCTTGTAAACGCAAGTGTGTCTTATATCTTATTTTACTCCTTTCAAATTATCGTATATATATATATATATATTTTTCAATAGGAGATGAGTAAATTGAGGAAAAGTTAAATAGCCAATCAATTTGTATAAATAGTACAAAAATTTCTCATGCTTCCTTGATTTTCTTCTCTTTGTTTTCAAACTAAGGAAGACACATCATTATATGCGCTACTCAATTGTATCACTATATCTGAATGCATCAGAAGAAAAAAGTTAAATAGCCAATTAAATTTGAAAATTACTCTGGTTCTTCATGTCAGGTGGTAGTTTCCTTGATTTTCTTTTCCGGGTTTTTCAAACTAAGAAAGATGCATCATTATGTAAGCGACTCAATTGTCTTGCAATATCTAAATGTTCCTTTTTGAACTGGTTATAAATGTAGAGTTCGTAGTATTAATTTTGAATGAACTTAGATATACTCCCAGTTTAGACATTTCGGGTACTTGTCTTTATCTTCTGCATTATCAAAAATAAGTTCTGATTACGGAGTCTTAGGACTTCATCTCCATGACAACTAAGAGGCAGTTCCCTGCTTTTTTTGCAGGATAATAGAATCTGTGGATTTTGCCCTTTGTCTCTCTCAGAATTATGGAGTTCATGTTGTTGAACTTGGGCATGCATTTGTCTTATTCTTTTTCAGCATTTTCCTTGATCTGCTTGATAGCACTCTGGATGACTGGGGATTGCAACTGAAATCTCTAGAAACTCAAAATGAAGCAAGTGGAAACATGGATCCCTTGAAAATGGATTTAGACTTGAAGGAGACTTACAACAGTGGGAGAAATGACCAACGCGAAAACTTGAGGAGGAAGAATTCTCGTATGGCCATAGAGGTGTTGGGAGACCTATCCAGGAGCAGAAAAGCTAAATTTCTACTTAGGCTTGTTTACCTCAACATGTATGTGCTACCTTTTTCAATTCTTTCAAAGTTTTTATCAAATGATGTGAATTCTTTTGCCTTTTAAACCTTGTTTCCTCTTAGCCTATAGCCTTGGTTTAATTCTGTAGCCTGGATTTTTCTAGTAAAAGAAAAAAAGAAGATTGTCGTTGCTTTTGACTTGTTTCATGGGTTTCAAAATCCAATATGGATTGCTGATTGAAGCTTAGTGCATACTTAATTAATGCCCTTTTCTTGACATGAAAACTGCTCATGTTCTGAGCTTCTTATGCTGTAACCTCGTTTTCTTCTCCAACAATGTATCTCTGTTCTTTGCACAGTAATGTTTGCATCCTGTTGTGATGATCTCCCACTATGTTCCCATGCCTAGCCAAACTATTGGCCATTTGAAGCCAGCACACGCATCCATTTCCAATTTCATTTTATATTATTTTATAGTTTTGTTATCATCTTTATAGGCCTGAAAAATTCGATGGCCTACTGCAGAAGCTGCAGTTTCTCGAAGCCATCAACATGACATTGCCTGACAAGTCTGTGAATAATCTCGTAGCAAGATTGTCTGCCAATATTCAGAGGGTATTGGACTTTGAATATCAGTTGAATAAGCGTCAATTCATTGGGATGCTGATTGATACTGGATCATCTAGACGAGTTACTTATTGTGGTCCTGGATCTGGTCAGTTTAGTTGCTGGGTTCCCTTTGATATTTACATGGAGAAGGCAATGGATGGGAGGCACCTTCCTATCAGATCAGCTGTTGCTATTCTTACTGGTAAATCACCTTTTGAGGGAGAAAAAGTTATTCCTTTCTTAATTTCTTTTGGTGTGTGTGTCTTTGTTTACAAATCCTTTGTTTACGTGCATTTGTCTTCTTCATGGCTTAATAGAAAGGGAGAGGGAATCGCTCAATGTGTTATGATTATCTTATTCATAAATGTTGCTATAATTGCAGAGACAATTAATTCACTCAGAGTAGTCAACCGGGCAAGTTGGCAAGAAACTTTCCTGGAACTTTGGATTTCAGCCCTTCGACTTGTGCAACGAGTACGAGATAGTCTATCTCATATTTCATTGGAGACTGAAACTTGCTCAGCTGATATTTGTTTTCTGATGCTTGCTTCATTGCAGGAACGTGATCCTCTCGAAGGTCCTATTCCACATCTTGAGACCCGACTTTGTGTTCTTTTGTCTATTGTGCCCTTGGCTATTGCTTGTATTTTGGAGGATGAGATCAAACTGTCTTCATGTTCTCTCCAAGGAGCTACGCCATCTTGTTTTGTAGAGACTGGCTGTGAAAGCAGAATGGTAGAAAAGATTTGTGCTTCTAAAAAACTTGGATTGATTTCTTCTCTGCAGCTTCTTGGAAATTTTTCAGGTCTCCTATGTCCCCCAGCATCAGTCACAAATGCAGCTAATAGAGCAGCTAAAAGAGCGGCCAGCTTCGTTTCTAGTTCCGCAATAGAGGGTTTACCTGGTGGCATCCCTGGTAATGCTCATACAAATGCAGAAAACTTAAATCGTGTACTTTACATTTACCTTCTAATATTTATGGTTTGTATTAATCAAGAAAGTTTTTGTATTGGTTCTCATAATCTCATTATGCTTTTTAGTTGGTAACATGAGGCATCTCATAGTAGAAGCTTGCATAACAAGAAACTTGATAGATACATCAGCCTATTTTTGGCCCAGTTATCTGTCTGCATCAATAATCCCAGTACCTGATTTATCAACTGTTCAGAAATCTCCCTGGTCAATATTTATGGAAGGAGCTCCTTTAGCTGGTTCTCTGATAAATATGCTTTTCATTACTCCTGCCTCAAGGTAGACAAATAATTCTGGAATTTAACTTTAGCATGTTGATCTGTTGATTTGATTTCTTTTTTTCTCTTTTCTTGAATTTTCAAGTCGAGCAGAGGTAGAGAAGTTATATCATATTGCACTGAGTGGATCAGGAGAGGAGAAGGCAGCGGCTGCAAAGATTCTCTGTGGTGCATCACTCAGTTGTGGATGGAATATTCAGGTAGCAAATTCATGCGATGTTGAAAATATTCAAGTTGGCTGTCTCTGTAGCCAATTATTTGCTCTATAGGTGTATTCATTTATCTGCTACATATTTTTTAAATAATTTTTTTTTGAAATAATTATTCATTTATCTGCTACATGCTTGGAGAAAAAGAAACGTATTTAAAGCAGTAAGATGCTTTAAGTTACTTAAAAGTAAATAAATTCTTATTTAAATATGTTTGAATATAGTGTTGAGTGCATAAAATAAGCAATTATTTGTTGTAAGAAAATTAATAAGAATGTATATTTATTACTTAAATTTTATAATTTGTATTATTATATAAATTGTTAAATTTTAGTGCTCATCAAAAGAGTAAGTAAATTTGTTAAAAGATTAAAAAAAAGTTAAAGAATGAGGTGCTAAAGTCAACTTTAAGAATCCAATTCATACGATGTTCTTTACGTTAACATATAGGGAGATTAAACTCTTTTTTTTATTTGAAATAAAAGGAGATTGAACTTCTTATAATTATGAAATAAATAATCCCAAATCCTCTCTTAGTTTGTTGACTTTTCTAGGAAATAAAACTTACAAAAAAGCAATATTCTTTCTATTTGGGTAAAAGATCCAATCCAAATGGCATCAACTACGCATATTATAATTTTTAGAATATAAATATATATGTAGGTATAGGTAATCTTGGTAAAATGTATCATTGAAATGAGTTTAAATACTCGAAGATTTATAGTTCTAGAGATGGAAATACGGTTGAGGAAAAGCAATTTTCTCCAACTTTGGTAAAATATCCACTTGATGGCATCAAATATGTATTTGCTTTCTGGTTGCGGATACAGAAATTCAATGGGGGAAAATATATATGTACATTTAATTTATGTTACATAATAAGTTGTAAAGAAAATTATGCATATTATTATACATACAACCAAGAATCTGAGGATTGCTTGAAGGGAAATAATCTATATCTACATTAGGTTGAGAAAGCAGAAAAAAAAAACCGAAGAGAAGAGAACTAAACTCGTTTGGATTAGTAACCAAAAAGAAAATGATAGCACTGTAGGGTCTCTAATCATTTTGTGGTCTGGTGGTCTTATGTGTTATGGCTTGTGAGAAGCAGAGCCTAAATGCATTAATTAGAGTCACCACCATAATCAAGTGTTTATAAACAAACTCTTGGGTAAATCCAAGTCTTTGTAAAATAATTTCTTCTTCTCTACACTTTCACAAAATATTATGGGGTCAAATTACTC